TTCCCTGCAGTGTATTTTCTGTAAAACAAAGCTAGTTTTCCCCCTTTTCTTCTGAAGAATATGGGTTTTAACTTTTGTGCGTGTTATAATATTAATTTTATCCTGCTTCCTCTCTCGTACTGTGGGAACCCTCTGTAGCAGAGAAACACACATTTAAATAACCTACTGTGACAAATCCAGAGTTAACATTCTCCACGTGTAAGGAGTACTTTGGTAAATAACATTGAATTTGTGAGTGTGTGGATATGGAGACTAAATGTGTGGTCATGTGCAACCTAATTTTGGGGCAGTATTATATATTGTGATCCACCCTGCTGCTCAGCTTGGTGATATGCTTCTTTTCTCACTATGCTGTTCTGATACATTTGAAGCATTCTGAGTATTATAAACTGGCTGTAGCTAAATAGAGATTACAGCATGGAAGGCTTAGTTACTGAATTTACTTTCTGCAGGTCTCATTTCATGTATGTTTTGATGTCTTGAAAACCTGGTAATAAAAATATAAAACTCTGGTCTTTCTCCAGCACAAACCTACCACAAATCTGGTAGTGAAAGTTTTCTTGCATGCCTGGAAACCTGGCTCTTTCTCATTTTCAACTTAAGCATACTAATTTTAAAAATATCACATCTGGTCTTCTAGATTTGTCTTGGTTTTTTTTAATGGCATGAACATTTCTGTGTCTGCTTTTCACAGTTTGTGAACCTGTAGACTTGAGACAGAGAGATTGTAATTACATCTAGTTTCAGATCTTCAGAGGTGTCAATAAAAAGGATCTGTGTAAGTTGGTGCCATTTTCGGATTCATATTGTCATCTCTGTAGGGGATATGTTCTTGTTTAATTCTTATTGGAACAAGCCTTTGGGACACATTGTCCTTGGCTCATATTTGCCAAAGCAGTGTTCCCCCTGGAATGGACATCAGAGAGCTTGAGCTACAAAAATGATACATCATTTGTACGTAGGAAGCTACATCTGTCTTTGTATAGATCTGGCTTCTGATGTGTGTCAGGAGCTCTTCTGTTTCATAGCTTGTTTGAGGAGAAGAGAGAGCAGAGTCCCCCGACAGCTGCACAGTGCGGTTCAAGTACCTACTGACTTAGATTTGCTTTGTCATAAGATGGATTACTTGGCAACTTCAAGGTTTTGCTTACCTTACTCTTCAGAGCTGGGGAAACAATAGTAATTTTCCCCCTTTGTTCCATGTGCTTTGGAATTCCGGTTATTGCACTCAAAGCAATTTTTTTTTTCCCTTGAATTTAACTGGCGTGGAACAACTCCGCATTATTATCTGAGACACATGCATGATGGAGGTAGTCAGGCTCTTCCTGGATCTGGAAGCTAAGCAAGAAAGGGCTGAGAAAATAAGGGCTTGCTCTGCCAGGTTGGGGCTTGGTGCAAATGCTGTGCCTGAAGCAGCAGAGTAAGGAAAACTGGTACCTGAATGGAAGGAGTGTCATGGGGCAGCTGAAGTGGCATTCTGCTTAAAATGCAGCTGTATCATTAGACTGCTAATAACTCAACTTGGAGACAATTAGCTCCTAAGTAATTTGAATAGTTCATTACAGGCTGCTCAGCTGGCCTTTCCTTAGGGGTTTTTAAGTCAGGGATAAATGGGGGGGAAACCAGACTGTCAGGCATTCTGTTTAATGGTGAAACTAGGTGGCAAAAGCAGTAACTGGTGTCAGCTTCTCAGATGAGGTAAGTTCAGGTGAAATATTCCAGTTACATTTGCATGTTAAATGATCATGCACTTGAAGCAGGGAGCGAAGGTGTCTTTTTAGCATCACTTCATGTGTTTAAATGGTAATTTATCCTGTGTTTTAATCTCACTTGAACTAATTGTATTAGTCGTGGCACCCCATGCTGATGGTAAAAACCTGTTATTGGCAGATGGGGGAGTTTGGCATGGCAATGATGGTGCAGATTTTTTTGTGTCCTGTTTAATTTGTGCTTTAACTGTGTATGAGAAACATCATCTCCTTATTCCTTGTCTTTGCTGATGTTCAGAGGCAATACCCAACTTGACCATTTTAGTATTAGGAACTGGTTTTGGGAACTTAATGCTGGTTGGAGCAATGTTTTTAATGATGCAGACTTTAAAAGAATCAAATAGTTAAGTTCTAAACTGACAGCACTTACATTTATCGCTTTAAAGAAACCCAGTATGTTAATCTCTACAGATGAAGCACGTGCCTTTCATGTGCTTCACAGCACAACATTTTACTGAACTTCATGAATGGGATGTTGTGACTCAGAGCACCTACAGTTAGAAGCCCAAGCTCCCTCTGAACACTGAAGAGAAGCAGGTTGTTTTTCAGGGCAGTGCAGAGCAGCTTTGTTGCCTGAAGTTGAGCAGTGGGAATAATCTGTCTTCAAGATTTGTGAACCTGTAGTCTCCTGGCTTCATTCTAAAGTGGTTAATTCCAACCTTCTATTACTTCACTAAAATAAGAGCTAGATGAAGAGCTAGGTGAATTCTAGATGTTCTGCACTTAATGTGTAATTTATTTATGACCTTACTGGTCATCTAGAACACAGTCCATCAGTTTCCACCACTTGTCTTCTAGCTGGGTTAGGCCCAGTGAACTTTGTTCGTGATTCATGTAGTAAGTGCAGCATATTACTTTTCTTGCTCTGTCAGCAGCAGTGCTGTTGGGAATTGGGGGCCAGAGGTCAGAAATAAGAGAGAATTGTTATGATATCCCGCCTAGCTGAGATGTGCAGAGGTGGATCATGTGTGATTATGCTCTTTTGTTTGTGCAAATGTAAAGTAAAATGCAGTGGTTTAACCTCTATAGGTCAAAAGTTCTTCAGTATTCATACAAGTGCTGCTGAAACCACAGGTGGATTTGACTGCAAAAATCACTTGCTTTCTGTCTTTTAAAATGATGTTATGGAGAGAGAGACGTTAAAAAAATCTGCAACTGCCTAGGATTTCCAGTATGCTGGACTTGCAGTATATCTAGAAGCTGTGGTTTTATAGAGTTTGCGTGGAACATTCAGCATTTGTCACTATTTTTCTTTCGTATAAACTTTGCTCTCCAAAGCCCATGTGTCGTGATTTAACCCTAGCCAGTGGTAGGCACTACACAGCTGCTTGCTCGCTCCTGGATGGGGGAGAGAATTGGAAGAGTAAAAGTGAGAAAACTCATGGGTTGAGATAAGAACAGTTTAGTAATTGAAATAAAGTAAAATAGTAGTAGTAGTCATAGTAATAATAAGAATATACAAAGCAAGTGATGCACGATGCCATTCCTCACCACCCACCAACCGATGCCCAGCCAGTCCCTGAGCAGTGGTCACTCACCCGCAACCAACTCCCCGCAGCTTGTACACTGAGCACGACGTCATATGGTATGGAATACCCCTTTGGTCAGTTGGGGCCAGCTGTCCTGGCTGTGCCCCTTCACAGGTTCTTGTGCACCTGGGAAGTTGAAAAGTCCTTGACTAGTGTACACAGTACTTAACACACCGGTGTTTTAGTTGTTGCTATCAACATTATTCTCATCCTAAATCCAAACCACAGCACTATGCCAGCTACTAGGAAGAAAATTAACGCTATCCCAGCTGAAACCAGGACACCATGTGTTTCCTAAGATAGCTTCTGTTCCTTGCTTGCTTTTGGTAGTGAGAAATGCAAGGTATAATGATAGTTAACTGGCAGCCATGAAGTTTGCTCCCT